TTTGGATGGAGATTTACTGCTGATCACAGAACCGTGCTTCACTGAAAGATACGCATGACAATTGCAGCTTCTGTCGAATCGCGATTTCGATTTCATTTTGATTTATCGTGCAGCCCTAGCTGGGTTTATGTATGGGCCTCTTCTGGTCTTTCGATCTAATACTGCGAAATATGCTCGTGCAATTTACATAAGAACGTGAAAGGAAACAATTGAAATGATATGGGGAGTAGCAACTTTCATTTTTGTTCTAATAGCTGTAAAACTACGCCGAACATTGTGGGTTTGTGTGGGAATCTGGAATGGTAAGAAAACAGGCTGAAATTTTTCACCTTCAAACCCAACTTACAATTTCAGCCGGCAATAGCGCTGCACGATTAATCAAATTCGATTGTCATGCGCATCTGGTCAGTAAAGCGGGTTCTGTGGTTAGTAGTAAATCTAGTTCTAGAAGTAGTAAATCTCCAGCACATGCGTTCAGATGGAGCGGCATTTACTACACAGAGCCGTAGTTCACTGACAAGCTACATAAAATCACGTTCATAATCGCAGACGATTTAATCGCGTGATTATGAAATCAAAGAAATCGTTCTGCGATTACGAAAGCTGTTTGCGTGGCTTGTCAGTGAACTACGGCTCTGTGTAGTAAATGCTGCTTTGTTTGATGTTTTTACACCAAACTCACTTCATAACGTCAGTCGAGTGTTTGAAATAAATCCTTCTATGAGATGATGTGGCTTCTTACACAGAATAAGGCACGCAACATATTTCATAGTATTCTAAGCAGTGATAAAGTCTATGTCGATTAGCATTGCATTATTATATACTTTATTATAATAAAAATTATAATAAGACGAACTTGGATAAACCATATATTGTCGTAGTCTTGTGTTTATTAGTCACGTTGAATCAATAAAAGCAGTTAAATCTTCCGTTTATTCAGCAACCGCTATAGGGATTTCCTGGGTTTCTTCTGCGAGGCGTATTTGGAGTTTCAGCGCGAGAGCGCCCTCTGGCCTTCGGATGGAGATTTACTGCTGATCACAGAACCGTGCTTCACTGAAAGATACGCATGAAAATCGCAGCTTCTGCCTAATCGTGATTTATTGCCTTTGAGATTTAATTTCGATTAATCGTGCAGCCCTAGCCGGCAAATTTAAATCCCATCTAGTTAGCACACTTCAACAACACATCCCGTAATGTTTAAGAATTAGGACAGTATTCAGAGAGGAAGTGGTCTTTAGTGACTGTTTGAATGCATTTGACCACACGAGTGTCTATATTAAAGAAAAAAAATCCAATCAAATACGTTTTCAACTACCTCTGGAAGTAGTCAAAGGTGGACAAGCTCAAAACATTTCATATTCCAACACACAAAATGAAACTGACATGAAAGTGACAAACCAAACTGTTGTGTAATCCATGGCACGCCAAGCTATTAATGAATTATTTTTATGATTGACAAAACGTATGACAAACAAATACCATTCTGAGACAAAATTTGCATATGGGTCAGTTTGACCAACTTTACGAAAACCTGTGGTGGTCTTTTTTTTTATATGAACCCATAAAACTATGAAATTGGCATTACAACATTCAATATTTATGAGCAATACATAGAATAACAATTAAACGCAAACAGGTAGTTCCACCCCAAAATAACACCAGTAGTTGAGTCAATGTGTCTGGCTGGTTGGGATACTCAAAGAAACACTGATCTGACACAAAAAGACACACTGTTTACTCTATTCAGGAATTCAACCTACCAATGTCTTATCACCGATAGCTATCTGCATGCATTTTCGGTCTCAGGAGGAACACACTAGGTTTTGGAACGGAGCAATTTTGTGTTTGTGTTGGTCACCTGTTGCTCGTCCTGCACTATAGCAGCGTAGGCTAGTACACTGTGCAGCTCCTCAGCAGTGGGAGATTTCAGAAGGTCCTTCAGCAGAGCGAAAAGAGAGATCTGCACCGTCTGCCTCTCATCAGACAGAGGACTGCCATCCTTCTCCACACTGTGGACACAAAAAGAACACTTACAAAAATCTTTCATCCACCCCAAATATTTCATTTTCTTAGATCTCCAAGCAAAATCATAATAGTACTTCTCAGTTCTGAACGTACCTGTAGTGTGTCCGAATCGAGTCCAGGATGTACTGAACACCATACCTCTTACGAGTCTTCAGCTTGCCTTCATTGATGACGGTGGCAAGGTACTGCACATGACCTACAAACCAACATAAATACAGGTAAACTATTCCTTTAGGACCTGGTTATTATTTGCATTTAATCTATGAGAGCTGAATAACAAAAAAAGCAATGGCTAATGCTATTGTGATGTGTTTTGGTTGTTTACCCAGGCAGACTGCAAAGTGGCTGTGGCTCCAGATTCTGAAGTCAAAGAGCAGGTACTGGTACAGCTGTGATAGAAGGGCATTGTTGCCCTCGTTGGACACCTGCTTGAGCAGGAACTGACAGGCCATCAATACACTCATGTCCATCATACTGCTGGGAACCTAAGGGAGAAAAAGAATGCGAGACAGGAGATGAAGTGTTTTGCCATCAATCAATTAAAATACATAATCAAATTATTTAAATGATATGATGATCAAATTGATATGTGCTGACAAATATTTCTCGCAACAGATTTAAACAAACAATACATTAAAAATTATTATAAAATTAATATATATATATATATATAATTTTTAAGGTATTGTTTGTTTAAATGAAAGAGACAAACATTTTTGGTTGCTCAGTTACTTAATTCAAGCTTGAATTGTTCTAATAAGCAAACTCCCTTTTACCTAATTTAGATAGTGATCAGGAGGCTCGATTGTTGTTTTTTTCATTAATATACATTTTATTAATATACAAATGTATATACAGTACATATAACATATAACGTAGTTATATACCAAAGTTTGAGGTCAACAAGTTTTTTTTCTTTTCCAAGAAATTAATATTTTTATTCATAAAGGATGCATTAAATTGATCAAAAGTGGCAGTATAGACTTTTTACATTGATACACAAAAAATCCATTTCAAATTTACAAACTTTCTATTCATAAAGCCATTCAAATCATGTCACACTAAAGACTGGAGTAATAATACTGAAAATTCAGCTTTACCATCACAGGAATAAATTAACCTTTTAAATATTTTAAAATAAAAAAGTGACTTTACATTAGGGCAGCCACTAACGACTATTTTTATTTTGATTAATCTATCGACTACTTTATCGGTTAATCGGTTAATCTAAACGATTAATTTCCCACAAAAAAAATCAACAATTTTACTTAAGAATATTTTATTAAACTATATTTTATTAAACCAAATGAAATCCAAATTTCTATGAAATCCTTTTTTTAAAGCAAAAGTAAAGTGCAACATAGAGTGCAAGAAGCAAGTGTCCATCTCATAGTCCAAATCACTGAAATCAAAGTTCAGTATTATAGTGTAAGAATGACAACATATCCACATGTTCTAGTCTACTAATAATAAAATTAGAATAAAAAAAACACTTTTTAAAGGAGTATTTACCAGAAATGTTATTTACCAGAATTTATTTAGGAGAAAAATGTAAATGTGCAGTATTTCTGAAAAAAAAAAAAAAAAAAAGATTGATTACAATTTTTTTAATAAAATCAATTAATTGGAGATGCTTTTGATTATTAAAATTGAATGGAACCATTAAAATGGAATCCAGAAAATAATGGAAAACAGAAAGGTAAAGATAAAACAGTAAAACTCAATTAATTAGACAGGCTTTTTGATTAATAAAATTTAATTTAACCATTAAAACAGAAAAATGAAAATGGAAAAAAACTGAATTAGGAAATAAAACGGATTTCATAGGGCCCTATAATTATAATAATTTTTTTGTTCAAATAAAGTATCAAAAGCAAGAAATCATATGGTTTTATTGAACAAAACTGTTAAAATACATAATGCATTATAAACAGTAGAGCTAATGTACATCACGCATTACAACAAAGGCCTGCAGAGGGCGCCAACGGCCTGATGATTATTTTTACACATTGCTGTGCGATCTAATACTTGTTTAATATTAACCAAGCACCATGTAATTCAAATGTCAACTTAATCTTTAATATTTGTCTATTTATTTAGGACAGAAATGCTATAGCCACTGTAATTAAAAGAATATTTGGACATCAAAACGTGTAAACTCAGAGTGAGGGTTTGAGCTTTTATTTTGAAGCTGCGATGTATTCTCCTGAGTTTGCGTAGATTTATAAATTATTTACCTTACAAATCTGATGAAATGGCGCACGTTGCGCTCCCAGATGAATGTTATAATAAACCCAAACTCACAACAACATGCAGAGATGGAGTTTGAGACGCTCCACACATGTAAATGATAACAGTTCCTGTGGAACTACTGTGAACAGAGCCTCTGTGTGACGCACGTACTTAACCTACACGCTTGTAAATAATTAAAGTGCATATACTGTATTAGAACTGCATTGCATAGAATCAATTAAATCGTAGCGTTTGTGAATTCACAATTATGCTTAATTATGATTTTTAAATGGGTTTAATATATATGCAACCTTGGGAAACAGTCTAAATGTGGTTTATGGATTGTCGTCCGTGAAATGTGCCACTTCCAGTATTTTGCCGGTTAGTCGATGCGAGCAAAATGAAGTCGAGAATTTAAAAAAATCGAATAGTCGAATAAAATCGACGAATCGCGACAGCCCTACTTTACATTGTAATAATACTTTACAATATGACTTTTGCTGTATTTTTAATCAAATAAATGCAGCCTTTGTGAGCATAAGAGAAAAATCTTACAGACCCCAAACTTTTAAACGATAGTGTAAATATTAATAAACATTCTTATAAATATGAATAAAAACTATTATTATAAATATAATGGTAAACTAGTATGTATTTTAATTTAATTAAATTTGATACTTGTTCTACATTAATGCATTTAATTGACAGCCCATGTTTTAAGCCTGAGGATGGTATACTTATGTAACTACGAGTGTGTGTGTACTTTTCAACTCTCAAACCCGAGAAACTCTCTTCAAAGGACTTTACAAGCTGTCAAGTCACAGTACATCATCAAAAGCAAATCAGATATGACTTTTAATTTTGTGTAACAATAAAAGCCACTGCTGAGCCTAATGATCTTACAACAGATAAGAAATATATCCGCATCTGTTTCTATGAACTTCAGCTGCTGTAACAGAGACAGCCATAGATATAATTTTTACTTATCAACGTCTCATCAAATTATCTGCTTAATATCACATGCCTAGTATGTGATCTAATCGCCAATGTAATGACAACTATGCAGCCTCTATTTGAAACTTTCATATTGATTACGTGTTAAATGTCACAGATGTTGGAACATGCTGTTGTGATAAACGTGTGAACTCTTGATTTGACTCTTGAATGAGTTTACGTCAGACACTCGCTTATTCATTTCTTTAAAGATTCCTGGCACCAGATAAAACCTTAAAGCATGAGAAACTGTGGTTGTGTGTGTATTGTGCAATATCATGGGACTGTTAACACAAGTGTTTCCTAACAGGATGCTACGCCTTGAAGTTACATACACCAATATGTCCTGTTAGACGTCCAGATGCCCTCTCTATTCACTAGTGTGTCTGTGTGTGCGCGTACCTTGCAGAGCATGGCTCCGATGATGGGCGGCCCGTGGCACTGAAGCAGACTCTCCTGATTGGCCGGATGGTTGCGCAGCATGTTCTTAATCATCAGCAAAAACGCTGCTACACTGTTCTTCTCTAAACGGCCCTCTAACACACATACACACACAAAGCAGCAATCAGTTTCACATTAGCAAAGTGTAACATTAACAAATTGCTGCAACGGCATTACATGGGAAATCAACAGCCAAAGGTAATAAAGTTCAACTGCAGAACACAAAAAACACAAACTCGCCTGCAGCCTCTCACACAGGCATACACAAACACATGTAGAATCACTCATACACAACTTTATGAATCACAGAAAACATCAATGGTGACTCATACTGCAATTCCAGAAGAATTTACATCATAAAATAACAAGCTGTTACTGTTAACGTGACTGTAAAAAAAAAACTATCCTAAAAAAAGGAAAAATATTAAAACCATATTTTGCACAGTGCTGTTTTAGTATAATTGATGATCTATTATAGCTTTTGCTAGTATTTTGAAACAGAGTTTTAATTTTAATTAAGGTTTGTGTGTTTTTCGAAGGTCATTTTAATTTTTTTTTAAATGTCTATATACTTTTACTTTTTCAGTTTTAAAATACATCCATATTGTCTTAGTTTTTAGTTCTAGTTTATTTACTTGTTATTTTAGTGCTTCAGCTTAAACTAAATGAAAATGAGAAATGTCTTGGCAACTAGTTGGAATACAACTATTTTTATTTATTTTAATTGTTAATTTTTGTTTTTAGTCTTAGTTTATTACGATAATAACCTTAATTTTCCGTTAAAAAGTAAACTTATTTTAGCAACATATATTGATACAAAGCACCTATTGTGTACATACGTTTTTAAATTGTACTCAAAAATACCTTGCTGTAATTATATATATATACACTGTATATATTTATTTTTTATTTCGTTATTTATCCGACACTTTTATCCAAAGCGACTTAAAAATGAGGACAACAGAAGCAATCAAAAATAAAACTAAAAACTTAATAAAAGACCTATACAGACATAATTTAACTAAAATAAATAACAAATACAAATAATACAAATCAAATGACAGTAGTTTATCAGTAATCCTAAAAAATAACACTGCCAAACACACATGCTAAAAAACAACAACTTACTTACACATATTAAGAAATGGTTATAAAAATCATGACTTTAATGTCCATACAAATTGGTTTTGAAGTGACATTTTTGTAAGATTTGTACATTAAATTCACAGAAACTACAGCAGAATCTGTTTATACTTTTAAGCTAATGCTTTTTATTTGATGCATATATGGACATGAATGATGGGAAGAGAGAGGGATTGGAATCAGACATGTTGCTACCAATGTGTCACAGCTGAGAGAGTACTGACCAGATGACTTCCCCAGTGGCAGCAGCATGCCGGCAGGGCCCCTAGAGGATGTGAGCTCTGGCCCGAGAAGATCTGAAGTCTCCTGACCTACAGTCTCGCCCTGATCCAGTAAACACACCTGCTCCAGCAGGGGCAGGAGAGCTCCCATGCCACCAACTGAGCTCAGAACATCCTACACGCAAGACAAGATAATAAAACATAATTAGCAGTTACTGCTCCTGCAGATTATGAGTTTTGTTCTAGAAGTATGTGTTGAACACACATTTCCCAACACTGGCAAACACAAAAGGCTGTACTGATGTCAGAACAAGTCTATGACTCATTCTGAGCTTAAAAGACAATGAAGCTCAGTGACGGATACACACCTTGACGTCCCAGTTCACCACTCTGTGACCAGTCAGCCTGCCATCATAAAGATGGTTGGGGGACAAATCCAAGCAGATCTGGATCTTAAAGGCCTACAAGACAAAAGAATGTGGACAATGTGCACAAGACTTATCTTTAAATTAACCATTTGATACAATGCACTTATTGTCTACATACAAGTTTTTACATTGGAATTGTTTGTACATTCAAAAATACCTTCCTGTAATTTTATCTTTAATTAATTTCTGTAGTTAGACTGTCATCCCTATTCCGACCCCTTAACCCACCTTTAAACCTGTCCTTATCTTTAACCGTATCCCAATAGCAGGTAAAGAAAAACAAAATAAATATTTTAAAATAGTTTTTGATGCAAACACATTAAAGACACCTAATGTAAAGTTATCAAAAGTAAATTCATGTCCCACTTCTACAATTTACATTAACAATTTAATAAATCAATGTAATCAATATTCTATTTATTAAAGCCAAGTATGAATCTCATCAAGTTAGTGTTTTACATTTATTCCAAAATAACTCAAGTAAGTTGCAGTTTAAACAATATATTTTATTTGTGAACGTATGTTCAGCTATTCTTTTTAATAGTTAACTTCTAATTATTTTAGAATTTTTCAGATCATCAGTCATCAAAGTTCGGTAATTACTGGTCACAGACGTGGAGATTTACTTTAAATTTCACCAAGCTGATTACTCACTAAAAACTCCTACAGATCATGTTTTCATGCCATTGTAAGTCTTATTTTGACTTAAAGTAGTTATATCTAAGTGTGTGAGTTGTTTATTTACTTTTTTGAATTAGTCTTCCCATTAATGCCATTATATTGTTTATTCAGACTAATTCGCGAACGCAGAATGCACAAGAGGTGGGATTTATCGCATGAACCAATCACAGTCGATCAAAACCAGTCATATCCAATCATATAACAATGAAGGCATTTCCTCCTCTCATGTAACTTTCCTCCATTCATTCTCAATTACCCCACACCAAACCCACCGCATGATTTAGGGGGTCTGTTAAAAGTCAATGGGCTCAAGGGAGGCAAGTGACTCCCGCTGTAAAATGTGTGTGTGTGTATGTATCAGATGGATCACTAAGAAGATAATTACCTGTGGGGTGTAATATAACACTAGTTTACTGTTGACTTCTGAAGGTTCACCATCAGCTTTGAATAGAGAAACATTATTGGGACCTGCCAATCGAAACAGAGATAGACATTCTTTAATGCTTGTTTCTTTTTGGATGGAAATGTGAATTTCTGCATTATGAATGCAGTGGATGTCTCATTTATACCTGCAGTGAACAGGGCTCGTGCCTGAGCAGGCTGCAGAGCTTCATGGCAGATGAACACCGTGGCTAAAAGGCCACCCAGTGATGAAGGAGAGCCCCACGCAGTGTCCTGTAGCCCTGCCGGGATGGTGTGAACCGGACTGTCCCGACTCACACCTGGTCGCCCCCCTGCGGCTGCTGCAAAGGATGCAGGGAAGGACTGGGAACGTGCAAGGGTGGGTGGCCCAGCATGTGCTGCAAATGCCATCTCGGAGGGCGAGTGGGACGGGTTGGGCAGGGTCGGAGAGGTAGTCATGGTGGTAGTGGTCCGGTGACCAGCTGATCCAATGCAACAGGAAGTGAAAGGCTGAAATGTTGAGAGTTAAACAGACCAATGAAACAAAACATGTTCATAATAAATCAAACTCCTGTAGACAATAACATTTACTTACCTCATTCAGAGAAGGAAAGCGCAGGGGTGCTGTTTTACACTGCACTCCATCCACATAAACAGTGACCACATTCTGTCCAAAGGGCCGACGGCCAGGAACGTGAACAATGGCTACTGAGTGCTAGAGCGAAGAAAAGAACGGTAAGAATAAGACTTTGAATACAGAAACCAAAACTTACAATGATATCATGAATGTAATCAGATTAGTTTTTTCAAGTACTAGTAATGTAAAGCATTACTTTAAAATTTTCAACAAAATATCTGAGCTACTTTTTCAAACAAGTAACGGAATAACGAAAATATAACTTTTTTTGTTATTAAAAAACAAATAAGCAAGCCCAGCCAAGGTAAGACAGAGTAACACAAAAGTAACGTAATGCATTACTTTCCATAAAAAGTAACTAAGTAATGCAGTTCGTTACATTTTAACGGAGTAACGCAACATTGTAACGCATTACTTTTAAAAGTAACTTTATCCAACTTTGGATATCATAAAGTAAGATTCTTTAGCTGAAATCAAGCTAAAGAGGCTAGTCAAGCTAAAGCTAATTCTGCTGTAAAACAAAAATACACGTGATGCTTCTATTACAGCTTCTAAAAGCTGACTGACTTTTTGTAAACAGAAAGGGGGTTCTTTCCAACCACTGCCATTTTGAGCAATATCTTTCAAATATTTATTTTCATACAACTGTTCTGTCTTCTTTTCCTTAAATTGTCTATGTTAATGTGTGTGTGAGCTGTCTGTAAGGTCACTAACCCAGGCGCAATCACTGAATGGGTGTTCTGGCAGGGAAACGGCCATGTATTCCTTTTTAGTACATACTGCCACCACCAGAACTTCTTCTGTGGTGAAAAAAGCTTCAAAGCCAGTTCCGCTTGCTGTGAAGAAACTACACACAGGACACAATACAGCTTTTAAAGGTATAGCTAAGTACACACAAAACAAATGGGCGTTAAATAATGGTGCAAATACCAGTGATTTGACGAGCGCAAACGTTAGTAAATCACATTGCGTGATTAATTTTAATACTCTCCTCCCATAAATTCTGAGTCTGAAAGGGAAACTCCTACAAATGCATATTCAATAAGGTCAGGCACAAAAATAACTGTGTCCAAGCCTTTTCGGCGCTAATTCTTCACTGCACGTCTTCAGTAAATCCTGACACAGTACTATTTTAACGGCAAAAGACAGTTTGCGCTTAGCTGTTAGTAAATCTGGCCCCAAGTGTACTAGACTCATGCAGGTATACAATATGTACAAGCATTTTGTAACAAGTAGGCCTGGGCCATTTACTGAATATTCACCACTTACTATTTATTATTTTATTTTTTATATTATTTTATTTGCAATATAAAATTAATCGACAATTGTAAATATAGCTATGATTTTAATCAGCGTTTTGCAATTCTTCTATGTTTAACTGCAGTCATGAGTTGTAAGACATATTTTAATGTCATCTCTGAATCAAACAACAGTAGTAAAATTGTTGTTAATGTTAAAGGGATAGTTGACCCCAAAATTTTGTCATCATTTACATGCTGTTCCAAACCTGTATGAGTTTCTTTCTTATGATGAACATAAAATAAGATGTTTTGACGAATGCAGGTAATCAAAAGTTGATGGTCCCCATTGACTTCCATAGTACTTCTTTCCCTACTATGGAGGTCATTAGGGACCAACATGTTTTTCAAAATTCTTCAAAATATCTTATTTTGTGATCAAAAAAGAAACTTATACAGGTTTGGAATGGCATGAGTGTGAGTAAATGATGACAAAATTTTCATTTTTGGGTGAACAATTCCTTTGTAAGTTGTAATAATTGATTACAGATAAATGGAAATGATCAAATACTGCAGATGCACAATATTCATATTTACACAAACATTTACATAATACATAATAATGATGTTATGCCTCAAATCACCTATCGCATTTAAAACTATTGATTTAAAAATATAATTTAATATAATTAATACTTAAAGAGTTCAACCATGATAATAAAAAGAAATGTTTCCTGAGCACCGAATAGCATATTACAATGATTTCTCAAGGATCATTTAAGAATGTAAATATATATCAAAAAGGTTAAAACAATTACAAGAAATGATACAGAAGGTGATGACATTTTTATATATTATAACACCCATCTATCATGAGAATACCTGTAAAGCTGTTTCCTACGTGGTCCCTTAGCCATTCGAACCATATTATCCAGGTGAGATTCTGAGTAGTGGTGCTGGGGAGGAGGAAAGTCTGTGTTGAGGCACAGCCAAGCGTGGAAAGCAAACGCGTTTCCTGGCCAGCGTTGTATAGCTGGCACCATAATACCTGCCATAGGGGGCGTAAGGTCAAAATACTGCAAGGCGCTGCATCCACCCTCTCCACGAGCGGCCATTGCAGAAAGCACCCTTACCACGCGCCCGCAGTACGGGTGAGGGGGTGCACCAGGCTCGGCCCGCAAGAGCTTCAGCAGACTCTTCAGTTCACAGGGCCGTAGAGAAAGAGATCCCAAGTCTTGAAGCAAGCCCAAGAGGGCATCTGCACATTGCCGGTCGAGCCGCTCCGGGGCTTCGGACAGCACCTCCAGCAAAGCGCCTACTAAGCCCGCCTCAACGGCTACGGTGCGGCAGGACAGAGTTCCTCGACACACGGCCGCCAGCCACTGGGACACCAACAGCTGTAGAGAGCGAGAGCCCAGATCAGGCAACCACTGCAGCAGCAGGAGCAAAGGCTGTTCGTTACTGATGCCCAACTGCATGGCCTGGGAATGCTCTCCTTCAACAGCCTGAGAGAAACAACAAGGAACCAGGGGATGGACAAAGCAAAAAGTGATGCTATGAGAATACACATTTTTTTAAGCATGGCGATTCTCAGTCATTATCCTGAAAAACTTACCGCATTTAATGAAGAACTTACTTGTTGACCATTAATAAGTATATTATTTTATATTAAGTTTTATAAGCATGCATGTGTGTAGTATGAAATTCAGTGTTATTTTAGTACTATTAATAAAGTATTATAGTATTTATTAATTTCAAATTCATTTTTATTTTTATATTTTACATTTTCATTTTCATCTTAAGTTGGTTATCTTATTTGAGTAATTTTGTTGTGTATTTTTCTTGTTGTTTTTTTAATAGGTCTATTTATTTATTTATTTTAGTTTTTAGTTATATTCAGTTTTAGTTTTAGTCATTTTAGTATATCAACTTCAAGTAATTAGATTAAAAATTTGGCCTGGCAACTAACTAACTACATTTTCTCTTATATTTTAAATTATTTCATAATATTTTAAATTAGTTTTTTATATATATATTCTTTTTTAAGTTTAATAAATCTTGTTGTGTTTTTGTCAGTTTTATTATTATTATTAGGGATGTATCGGTACACAAACATGGCATTTCGGTACGTACCTTGGTTCTGACGTCACGGTTTGTTATGGTTTCAGTACAGCAGGGGGAAAAAACTAAACATAAAATTGCTTTTTTTTATTAAAAAGTGATCTAAAAAAAAATTATCTTTCTCTAAATAAATTTAGGGATTCTTAGGGATAAAAATCTTACTCGGTTACTAACGTAACCTCGGTTCCCTGAGATACGGGAACGAGTACTGCGTCTTGCTCAAGGGTGTAACTTTGGTTTGAGAAGTGGGGGGGACACAAAATGTTTTCGATTTGAATCCCATTTCCTGCATGTACATACATTTAGGGACTAAGCAATGAGCTCTTGGCAAAATTGACCCTGAGTCCCAGGCACTCCAGGTGGCTGAGGAGGAGGGCTCTGTGAGATATTAGTTCTGCCTCCGACTGGGCCAGGACGAGCCAGTCGTCGAGGTAATTGACAATACGGACACCCATCTGTCTCAGAGGGGAGAGAGCCTCATGCACTTCGTAAAAGTGCGGGGGGCCAGGGACAGCCCGAAGGGAAGGACCGTATATTGATAAGCCACACCCTCAAAAGGCGAATCTCAAGAATGGCCTGTGACGAGGGGCCATCTGGATGTGAAAGTATGCATCCTTCAGGTCCAGGGAAAAGAGGCTCTTGGGGGAGACAGGAGCATCGAGGAAGGGGATCTTATCCACATCCTTCATCTCCGTCAGCGTCAACCATAAATGGCGCACGAGCACCACAAGGCTGGCCATCGATCTCCCAATCGCCTGGGCGGTGGTCTTGGTGGCGCCTAGAGCCAGGTCCGTCGCGCTCCTCAGATCCCTGAGGGTAGCAGGGTCCAGGACAGACTCGGAGGATGCGAGGATTTTGGCCTGGAAGACCTGAAGGATCGCCATAGAATGAAGTGCCGCAGCCGCCTGTCCAGCTGAGGTGTAGGCGCGTCCAGCCTCACAGGTCCCTGGGAGGAAGAAAACGGGAGGGCGCGGGGGGCGGAGTCGCTCTCTGAAAAGAAAGCGATCCCTGAGCGGAGAGAGGCGAGACTAAAACTCTCACAATGAGAGCAATTAGCTCCCATGAGCGCAGCTTCCGCATAGGATTTCCCCAAGCAGGAAATGCACTCCATGTGGCCGTCATCGGCGTGCAGGGGGGCTATTATTATCAGAGGACACGTGAGCATAACGGTTAGCAGATCAATGAATGAGAGGGCAGCGTTACCAGAGTTGCCCATTTACCACACCTTGTTACAGCACAGTAGGGCTATTGCAAACAGAAACAATACTGTACTACATAGATGTTTCCTGTCAGCTCGATTTTTGAGTGGACTTTGCTGTTCCGATGAGCATGAACGGTATATAAGTGGAGCACTCACATGGGCCGTGAGCGACTGAGCAGAGCGCACACGCATAGAACGGGATAATATGCAGAGCGTCACACCACGTGACAGTGAATCCTGAGCGGTGAACTAATTTTCGGCAGCCAGAATTTCAGTGCATCTCTAATTATTGGCGACATCAGAAATGGATATTATATAATAGCTGCTTTTTTGAACATTTTAGCAATTTAAAAATATAAAAAAATGATTTTTTACACAGCACCCCTGCTTTCGACAGACGGCACCCTGGCACCCCGGTTGGGAAACACTGCTCTAAACTATAGGGAGCCCCTTTACATTACTATATGGTTATAATAAACAACAGAGCCCAAACTTAAATTTAATTATTATTTATTTTTAAATATCATATTCAACACTCAGCTTAAAAACTTTGATGCAGACATGTAAATTGCACATAACTCTGTTTTTAAATTAAAAAAATTCTATTTGCTGTTGAAATATATTCATTTATATTCAAGTAAAATATAATGAGTATATAGTCTAATATTTCACGAAATGCTCTTCACTAGATTTAATTTATCCAGCAAACAAACAAGCTGTGGACCCAGATGACTTGCCTGAGGTAAATGAAATGCTACGTGACATTTTGTTTATTGATGCTTTCTGTGGGTGAAACACTGATTGAGCGATTACATGAGATGTTCATTCATGTTTATTTCATGTTAAAAGCGATGATCGCGCTCATTTGTGCTCCGTGCTGCCATCTGAACTGGAGGCGTTTATACAGTGATCGGTCACACCACATCAAAGAGCGTCAAAATGCCATTTATTGTTTAAAGTTCCTGAAAAAGTTTTGTTTTCGTTATTTTCAGTTTTAGTAATTTTGGTACTTCAACTTTAGAAATGTCAGCCCCCATGAAGCGACCCTCTCCATGTAAAATGAACCCGCTTTTAATAGGCTACTGATTGGAGACTCACATGAAAGTGTGTCATTTTAATGATATGGTTACAAAGTACTATTATTACTTTATGGGTAAAAAACTAAATACCGAGTACACATTTCTGACTAAATGTCAAAAAGGAAGGAAATGTAGGTCACCATCTGTGATAGTAGTTACACTCACGGTTTCTTCTCACTCACCATGTTCATCAGCTCCTGCAGGAGTCTTTTGGTGGGCTGTCCTTGACTTTTCAACACATCAAACAACTGTGAGTAGCCAATCCGCTCCTTGAAGACCTCCTGGGAAGACAAACCACACAAAACCACAGTTACATTACAATTGAACAAGCACACAACACAACGAGTGTTTTTACCACCCTGTTCCCCGAAACAAACCAAAAGAACAAAACAAAAGGTATTATACAAAGCAGAAACGTTTTCACATGAAATCAGGATATTAAAGGGGATATCATGAAAAACAGGATTTTACTTTAAATTAAAAAGTCTACTATGTAAATAGCTTTCACAATGCAAGGCCACCCAGATTATTTATTGAAACTGCCCTGCAAAAACAGAGAAAACATAACCATAAATCTTCATAGTTGTGCCACAGTATAATGTTTACTTTGCAAAGAGGGTGTTATTGAAGAACAGGGCGGCACAAACTATATTTGACCTAACAGCAAAGAGGTTAGCCAATAAAAACAAGGACATTTACATAAAGAAGTAGCAGTAAAAGAGAAAACCTCAACAATGTCATGAAATCTATATCATGACATTGCATTTTGGTACAAACAAAGAAACCTAAATACACTAATAATAAACAAAAAAACACGATATGGGATTATGATACTTTTGGACCTGACAAATAAAATAAAGGAGGAAGCACATGTCGTAATGTCACCATGGGTGACCTGGTTCTGCAGAACCACATCAAATGTGCTGATAAGATTAACCACACATGCATAAGGGGCACATTTATCATACGCAAGCACTTTGACTTATCACGCTGATAAGACGAGAGACGTCTGCAAGCTGACCTTTCAGAGACTTTAGGAGAAACATACATAAGGAAGGAGAGGAGGTGTAAGACACGAGTCGATGACATGTCATACCTTGGCAGAGGGCGAGTTGCTCATTATGGCAGTGAGAACTCGAATGGCGTGTACTGTGATGCAGTCAGAGCCCTTTTCCCAGACCTACACACACATGTGCGAAATACACACATCATTTAGTTCGTATTCACATTCTAATGTATTAAATGATTAGTTCACCCAAGGATATGCATTTCCAAGCCCATAGGATCATTTTTTGACGCTTTGTCTGACATTTCGAATTTTAACACGGACATGAACAATGACACAAGCTTTTTTTTGTTATCCTGCAGTTTCAGAAAACTTGGAATATAGTGTATACAGACTACTTCTATTCTGTATTTATGGTGTTTTTAGACCATTTTAGTGTTTGACACACATAGTCACTATAAATATTGTTGTAAGAGCTGAAAAAACTAAATTCTTCAGAATTTCTCTTTTTGTTTTCAACAGACAATAACTGCAAATTATGGGTTTGGAATGACATTAAGGTGAGTAAATAATGACACTGCCATTCAACATTTTGGTGTAAGAAAGATTTTTAAGAAATTAACACTTTTATTAGCAGGGATGCATTTAATTGATCAAAAGTGACAGACATTTATATTACCAAAGTAAAAAGTATATATATTTGGTTTTGGTTACCACACACAAAAAAAAAAAGCAGCATAAGCCTTTTCCTTACAACAAGCTAATCAGAAATGTTTCTTAAACACCAATTTAGCAGATTAGAATGATTTCTGAAAGGTCACATGACATGACACTTAAGATTGTAGTAATGGAAATTAAGCATTGCTACCAAAGGAATAAATTACTTTTTAATATATATATATATATATATATATATATATATATATATATACATACATACATACATACATATATACACACACACACACACAGTATATATTAAAATAGAACTGTATTTTTAATCAAATAAATGCAGCCTTGGTGAGCATAAAAGACTTATTTCAAAAATATTTTTAAAAATCTTACCAACCCCAAACCTTTGATCAGTAGCGTAAACAGTTTTGAGTGAAATATTCCTTTTAATTGAACAGTTTCAGAGAGAAGCATGCAGATATGAATTCTGAACATTTCTCCTTGAATCGCAAGATTCTGTTAAAAACAAACTGAATACAAATTAATGTTAAATTAAAGAGATTAAAACATGCAAGAGTAGAGCAGATTTCTCACTTTTAACCTAAAAATATTTACCACCACTCCACCACAAATATCCCACCAAAGACCACCAAATGAAACACACACCAAATGTTACACCCACAGCACCACAGCTACACTATACATGCTACAAATCTAGAAACGCTGCACACTGCAAGACAATGCGCAAGGCGACACGGCCTTGCAAGTACATCCAACAAACTTCACACACACACACACACACACACTAAACCACAACCAGCAGGATCCTCACCCTCCAACTCTGTGTACTGACACTGCAATAACCTTAAAAAATTTACTTATGTGGTACTATGGTATCAAACAGTAATTTCATGGTACTACGTGATCTCCATATTTATATACAACATTGTTATCATTAACTAAAACTATTACAAACTATTTGTTAGGTTAAGGTAAAATCAAATATAATTATTAGATGAAAAATTTAAACTATCGAAAATTAGAAATGCTGACTGACTGAACAAGTGAAGTATTAAAATTATTAACTGAAATCAAACAAACTAAAACTGGAATACAAATAAATTCAAACTATTTAGAAATATAAAAAAAAGCAAAAACTAATTAAATGACAAAAGCACATAAACAAAACCCAAAATTAAAATGAAAACTGTACATATAAATATAAAATCTAATTCAAAATATTAATAAAAACTATAGTAGTATATAACATGCTACAACAACACTGAGAATAAATGGTGTTACGGTAGTTGATATTGAATACTTTTGGGGAAATTGTTATACTCCAGCTAAAACTATTTTAAAAATCATTTTGCAAATTCTTTAAAAATTGTATGCATTTTGCTTTTATAAAATCATGTAATACTTGTATGTTTAATAATAATAATAGGTTACACTTTATTTTAAGGTGTCCTTGTTACAGTGTAATTATACATTTAAGTACTGAGTAATATTCATTAACTACTGTACATTTACTTACTATATAGTTAGGAATAGGATTTGACTTAGGGTTACTTGCATTTATTTATGCATAATTTATTATTATTATTATAGTAAGTAACTGGTAACAAGAACACCTTAAAAGTGTTACCATAATAATAATAATAATCATAATAATGATACTATCTTAAAAATACAAAAACATTTATCATTTAATTTTTTAGATTTAAAATTAAATTATGCATGCATATATGAATTTTAAAATAAACACATTATTTTTGATATTCATATATACATGCACAAACACATTAAATAAATAAATAATTTGGTAAAAAAAAAAAAGCTTATAAATTTATTATAGATCATTTTACATGACATTACAGCAGTCTGAAGCCAGTTCTCCCCTAAAATATTGATGTTATCTATCATCTATATTAGAACACAATAGTACCATCATGTCATATCCAACTACCATGGTACAATAGTAGCATCAGAATGTTTTAAGGTTTCATATTTTTCGTTGCATTTAAGTCAACTGTGTCACTAACTGGCACACGCACCGACAACATGCAGATGTTTTGCTACTGTATATTCACCTAGACAACACTGCATGCTGTTTATGCGGAATCTAATGTTGCTCAGTCAGCAGTTGTGCGTCTGTGTATTCGTCTGCGTGTCTGTGTTTGTGTCAGTCAAGTGAAGGGTGGGTTTCCTGCTGACGAACGCCACACTGATCAGCGGTGAAGGGAAAGTACCTGCTCCACTTCAGCCTCTGTGAGCAAACGTGTAGTGAGATCACATTGGCCCTCACACTCCACCTTAAACCTGTTACTCTGATATAGCTGCAGGACAGACACACATTCACACACACAGCGTCACAAACACATGAACACAAGTGAGTCAGAGATAAAACAAGCAAGCCGAAATTGAACTTACTGACAGATCGAGCTAAAAGGAATGAAAAGGTAATAGACGAAAAAGAGAAGCTCTGCGAAATCCTCATTACACAACATAATGCCTAGATACAACACACACAAAAACCACCCAGCTTACCCAAACCGACCGTGATCATCACATACAAACATATGACGCAGAACCTATATTTCATCACAGGATGGAAACACAGGCTGTGCTACAAATAATTACTGATTGTCACTTTGATGCACTGGTTGTAAATCGTCTGTCATGGTTTATTTTTATCTGTCAGTAAAATATATTGGCCTTAAAGGAGTCATATGATGCAATTTCAATTTTTGCTTTCTCTTTGGAGTGTTACAAGCTCTTGGTGCATAAAGAAGATCTGTAAAGTTGCAAAGACTAAAGTCTCAAATCCAAAGAGATATTCTTTATA